GTCTAATATAGTCAATATTCTTAATACAATTCATATTCCTTTATTTGTGCTCTTCAAGTTCTACCTAGTCCACTGTCATATTCTTCTCCATCACCAGTTCAAGTGTATAGTCATAGACATCGTCTTCAAAAACCACCAAGTGATTAAATAAGTGCCAACTACTGTGTCTCCTCGAGCTACGACAACTTAGTTTGATCTCCCAATTGTCCTCCACAAAGGTATACGTTCTACCCATAATCCCTCTCCACTTTATATATTTTTTATGCTATCATAGACTATCTTCACCTTTTTATATATGTTTTTCATCTATTTCTTTTGTGACCATTTCAAAATTTGTCAGTGCTCTACAAAATATTAGAACTTGGGAGCTCATTCCATTACCGTCTGGAAAATTTGTTATTGGTTGCAAGTGGGCTTTTGCTATCAAAGTTGATCTTGATGGTATTTGTGACAATTAGGTTGTTCTTCATATTAGTTCTAATTTTGTATTTCATTAGAGGACCAAACATATTTGTTAGAATATTTACCCTATTTATCATGATTATATTCTGTCTAGGGTTACCCTATTTATCATGATTATATTGTGTCTAGGTTACCCTATTTATCATGATTATATTGTGTCTAGGTTACCCTATTTATCATGATTATATTGTGTCTATGTTACCGTATTTATCATGATTATATTGTGTCAATTTATTTTTATAAATAGAAGATTATGAGAGGGATCAATCAAGCCCTCTAGAATTATTTTACAGTTTAATTCTCAAGTTGGTATCAGAGCAGGTTGTCTGAATCTTTTTTGCCTTTGTCGCCGATGGCCCGTGGCCGCTGCCACCGGCGGCCTTAAAAATTTCATCTTTTCTTAAATACCTCAATGAGCAGTCTTGTTCTGGTTTCTATCTAGTCTCCAAACCCTAGTTGTTGTCCGCAATCGTCCAGCATTGTTTGTCGCTGTCTGGAACTGTTTGTCGTTGTCTGGTGTCGTTTGTCGCTGTCTGGTGCCATTTACCGTTGGCACTATTTTTCCACTGTGAGGAGTTGCCCACATAAGTTTGTCACCATCAACCTCTATTTCCTGTCATTCTGACGCTGTCCGCTAATGCCGGCCACCGACCACCGCCACTGTTTAGTCTGGCGACCAATGGATCTGGATTGCCTCCTTGAGCCATGGTCAACCCTGCCTATGTCAAGGGCTAGTTCTCATCCAAACACCGCCACATGCGCCACATCTGTTCAACCTTCGTCGCCGCTGCCATCTTGTTTTCTCTGGCGAAGTTAGGGGTTTTGTGCACATCGAGGAGCGCGACCCATCCCTGGTTGTCGTTGCCTCATTCTCCTCCACATGCAACGTAACACACGACTTCTCTACGATCAGCTTCCAGCTTGTGTTTGTCACGCGCCACCTTTTTGGTGTCGAAATTACACTGCCATTCGTCTCGTCGGAGCCTCCTGAGTGCATTTTGGTCCTTGTTTCTTAGTTTTGGTGGTTGTAACTCAGACCTAGGGTTTTCTCTTTTGGTTGTTTTGGAACCCTAAGTCCTTCATATCTCTGTTTCATCATTGTTTGACTCATCGAATCATGTTGAGTCCATATACGTCCTTGGTTCCTAATTTCAAAGTCAGCAGTCCGCTCTTGACGCCACTTCGTCACTTTTTTCTTCAATCGCTATTGGTCACTTTCTCCTTAAGCCGAGTCTAGTTTGTTTAGCCCGTAGTTCTTGTGATAAGCATCACCATTTGGGAGTCAGCACAAAACCTTTGGACCTCCAACCTATCTTTGGCCTTTAATGTCATCATAAGTCTCAATCTTTGTTCCTCGAATCTGTCATCCTTACAGTTCTCAACACAATCCAACCATGGTTCCTAGTGGTGCTTTGATGAATAAAGGAGACCATTATGACATTCCACCTTCATAGTTTCCAGCGTTCGCCGTGAGGGGGAATATGTTTCAGTCACTACAGACCCCATCAATCAATGATGGCAGTTTAATCCCTGCAGTATGTTTTTGTCCACTGCAGGCCCCATCCTTACTTGATGGCAATTTAGTCCCTACATGCTCTATTAGTTAGTGATGGCAATTTAGTCTTTGCAGTCCCCATCAGTCAGTAATGACAATTTAGTCCCTGCAGTAAGGTGGAGTATGTTTTCAGCCACTAGTCAGACACTAGTTAGAGGCCCCAACTAGTCAGAGATGACAGTCCCTGCTTTTAGCCACTGCAAGCCCCAAGTAGTCAGAGATGGCAATCCCTTTACTTTTGTCGCTTTCAGCCACTGCAGTTCCCAACTAGTCAGAGATAGCAGTGCCTACATTTTTGTCGCTTTTAGCCATGCATGCCCCATCCTTATTTGATGGCAATCTAGTCTCTGCAGTTTGTCGTTGTTTACCACTCAGCATTCACTTTTGATGGAAATCAACTTTGTCAAAGTCACCCTACTTGAAGGTTCATGGTGCTAGATGAAGTTTTGTGGTTGTCCAATATTATTCTTCTTAAGCTTATGAGGAGTCTTTTTGGTTACGCTAGTTTGTGAGTCCAATTTGGTTTATAGACATTCTCTCTCGATGGTCTAAAGCATATGTGCATTTTGCTCGGAGCCAAAGTTACCACGTCTATTATCTCGACATTTTAAACAAGTTGATTTGGTTGGATTGAGTTTATTTATTCCAAGCTTGGCACATACAATTTGTATGCTCTAGGTTAAGGGGGAGTGTTAGAATATTTACCCTATTTATCATGATTATATTGTGTCTAGGGTTACCCTATTTATCATGATTATATTGTGTCTAGGGTTACCCTATTTATCATGATTATATTGTGTCTAGGGTTACCGTATTTATCATGATTATATTGTGTCTAGGTTACCCTATTTATCATGATTATATTGTGTCTATGTTACCCTATTTATATTGTGTCAATTTATTTTTATAAATAGAAGATTATGAGAGGGACACAATATATTTTTACAAAATATTTACATGTGGCCACTAATAAGAAAAACTGTAACATCTTATATAAAGAGTTATTATAGATATGATATGACAGAACAGTTATCCAAAATAACCATAAAATTTTAAACTTCATATACAAGTGACTAACAAGACTATAGAAAAAGCTAATCTAAAACTAACTAAAGAGTAGCATCTCCTTCATCCAGTGACTACTCTAGGGAAACCTCATCTCCCTCTGCTCACATCCATAGGATGATCTTGCAAAGAAGAAAACACCGCAACATACAAAACACAAGCACAAACAATAGGGTAAACTAGTTTAAATAAAAGAACAATCATTATATTCATCAACTAAATTACATAGAATCATACATACTCATTCACCAACACAACACACTTTATGCAAGACACTACAATGAATTGACCGTTTGGACTTATAATGATTGCCGAGCTATGATGGGTTGTGCACTTGTGGTGGCTTCTATTGCTTTGTAAAAGGCATTGCTAATGGGTTTCACCCTACCACAGTCACAAGCTTAGTCTGTTTCGGGTCTTAGAGCATACTGGAAGCCCCTAAGACTAAGATCTCCTACTACTCCTTACGGCATGGATCAATCATCTCTACGTGAGAATGAAAGACCATTGGAGTTTCAAGATAACCCCCAAGATTGAGCTCCTGTATTCATTCTAAACATACTTGAACCTCACTAGAGGATTCACTTTGGAACTTACTTTCACCACTTTGAAACCATACTTTCTTTCACTTTGAATCACAACTCATAACTTTGATGCTCATATAACTCAATACACATTCATACATAATACACAATGAATCAAAACATCACTCAAATCAATCAAGGACAAAGAAGGAAGGAGTAAACTAAAACCTGGACTAGTCACTCAGTGAACCCTCTCTTTAGTGACCCTAGAGTTCTCTCGCATAGCGACCTAGCTCGCTATGCGAATACACAGGCAGTACCTCCAGACTCCAAACCACTCGCTTAGTGACCCAGCTCGCTGAGCGAATAAAACTCACAGTGCTCCTAGACCTCAACCTCTCGCTCAACGACACCACTCACTAGGCGAATCCCTCAAATAGTGGTCCAAAACCTCAAAGCATTCGCTCAACGACACAACTCGCCAGGCGAAAAAAACTCCCAATGATTCTAGACTCCAACCTCTCGCTCAGCAACACAACTCGCTAGGCGAATTTCCCAAACAATGGTCAAAACCCTCCAAGCACTCGCTCAACGAAACAACTCGCTAGGCGAATGTTTAGACAGTGTGCCCAACTTCTCAGCCACTCGCTGAGTGACTCCACTCGCTGAGTGACTCCACTCGCTTAACGAGTCTGCATAATTTTGTAGCACCAAACTGCAAAATTATGAACATGCACCCAAAATGACCAATTGGATACATTTTCCCAAACTTCTGATCCTCCTAGATCGTGTTAAACACCTAATCATACTTAACTAAGTGTGTCTAACCCATTCTAAACTCCTTTTAAACATGTTGCTACAAAATCTAAACCAAAAGCTTACAAAAACTCAACTTAGAGACTCAAATTGAATTTTACCATTTGTGGCACAATTTCAAGTAACTTAGGGACTCTAACAAGTCTAAAATGACTTACCAAAACTCTCCAAACTGACCATTTTAGCACAAAATCTCTAACTCAAGTTTTCACTAGTTCACTTCCTTAATTAAAGAGATAGATAATATTTTAGATAATGAGACGAACTTAGAAAATTCTATTTATATTATAAAATTATTTTATAATAAAATACTCGGTCTCATTATTTTAATACACCTATCTACTGTAATACTTCATTTTTTAGTTAAAAGAACATATAATAATATAAACATTTTAGCATGTCATTTTTCATATGTTTTTATACTTAATTAAAATTTATTTAAAAATTATATGAAAAGAATCAGACAATAAAAAACCTGTAATTTTGAATAAATTTCTATAAAAATATGTTTATTTGACAATATTTAAAAATTTGTTAAAAAACGATATTTCTCAATATATAACATTTTCCTGCAACGAAACATTCCGCCTAAGTTTCAGTTTCAATTTCAATTTGAATTTGTAGCCTTCGTCGGCGCCACGCCAAAGAGCACACAAACCGATTTGCCGGTTCGTTCCGTCTTTTCTACTCTGCGCTCGCTCGACGCTAACCATTCAAAACATCTGCGACGTCGTATCGTATGCATGATTCACGTTAGCACCATAGAAGAACCCACACTTCTCTTTCCTCGCACCATTCCATGGCTTCTCCTACGCATCGCACGCGCCTCGATCAGGTCCTTCTCCATTTCCCTTTTTCCAACCCTAAACTACGCTGTTCTCTCCCACAATCATCTCACGCCCCTCCAAATTCGCATCGCTTCGCAAAATTAAAACAGTAAAAAACAAATTTAACAGTTTCTGAATCTCGCTGCTTAATTGTGGTTTACGAATTCTGATTCTTTTTTTGTTTTTCTCACTTGCGTCCGCTTGCTTGTGGATTTGTTCGTGCAGTTTTACGTGTCAAAGAAAAGGAAAGCTGAGGCGCCGGTTCGTAAAGCGGGAAGATCCGAGAAAGGTGCCAAGCAAGGGGCTGACGCGTCTCCGAGTTCCAAAGGCACTTTGGACGGTTATTTGATTTCGTCGCAGGATGGAGATGGTGACGTTAACAGTGCCACCGCCCCAAAAACCACAGTTAAGAGAAATTTGGCATCAGAGATCGGTACTTCTCTTGCCAATGGACATAATAAGCATACTGTTTTATCGGCTCAAGGGTTTGGTGATTTTCAAACTAGTGGGCCGAGTGAATTCGGACAGAGTGCCGCGAAATTGGAGCTCGAACAGTTTGCAGCTGGCTTTTTGTCTCTGTATTGCAGGTAGTTTACTCTATCCGTTTGAAAAATGAATAAAGATTGGTGTGCACATCTAATGTAGTGGACACCCGTAGGGGTAAAGAAAGGGAAGAGAGAGAGAGGTGTTGGTTTGATTGTTAAGATGATGTGATGTGATAGGAAGAAGCTGATTGAAAGAAATGACAGGGGTTAATGAGATGCTTAAATAATAGTATTTGTTTACTTATCTCCACAAAATTGTACGTATCAATGAAATGTTCAATGAGGATTTTTCTTTCTCTTTTTGTATTGTTTTACTTGTCCGTGTGTTTGACTGTTAGCATTTGAATCATGCTATTTGCAGTGAATTGCATCCCAGTGTGGATTTCCCTTCAGAGATGAAAGTGGATGAACACAAGAGTCATGGTACTGTGGCAGAGGGACATAGTTGTTTACCACAGAAGAGTAAGTGCACTGCCAGAGAGCCAGGTTTTGGTGTTGAAAATGTATCATTAAATGTCAAGATTGACGAAGACGTGAAGTCTGGTGTTGTCGGTAATAATACTATGGGATATGTTCCTATCTCTTGTTCGAAGGTTAAGCTCTAATCCTTAGCTGTTTGGATTTTTTTGTAGCTAGATTGGTATTTAAATTTATCTTATCTGACAGGTTTCTGGTTGTGGTGACACTGCTGCCTTTGAGACAGGCTTTAGAAAGTGTAGTAATACACCTAAAATGTCTAGGAATATGGCTGAATGCTATACACCGGGGTCTTTGATTGTTAAAGCTAGGGTTAAGGAGACTCCAAAGTCAGTACACGGAAGCTCATCATTTTCACCTGGAGAGGCATTTTGGAATGAGGCAATTTTACTTGCTGACAGTTTGTGTGTTCCCATGGATAATGATCCTTCTAAGGCTATGGGGGAAAGTAATGTGGTGGAAGATGGACCTGAGATGAAGAACTCATGCAATTTACAAAATTATGATGGCAAGCCAAGGAAAATATTAGATCAAAGTAAAAGCAGAATCTGGAATATGGAAACAGGCACACCTTTCAGGTTAGTGGGGATGCACACAAAAGATTCTGTGAAAGAAGCATCCAGCCTTCCCGTGAAACATTTTGATTTTTCGTTTGAGGACAACAGTTTAGAAGAAAATACCATGCAAAATGGTCATGGTGATCAGGGCAATGTTGCTTACATGGCTTGTAAACAGTATGAATCAGGTCCTACCACAAGTCATACTTATGAAAAGAAGAATGAAGTACAAGAGAAGACTTTAGTAAATAAATTACGAAACAGAAATTGTCATGGTAATGTTAGTATGACATCTATTCCACCCCACAATGAGGTTAGGACACCAATTAATGCACAAGAAACTGATGAAGCAAATACTCCTTCAACTAGTGTATCGTTTAATGATCATTTTGACCTAAATAGCTGGCTTCCTCCTGAAATATGCAACATATATAGGAAGAAAGGAATATCAAACCTGTACAATTGGCAGGTACTATGAATATTGTTTCTTTAAGTCATCAACTTTTTATATTGATTTACTATGTTGTATCTATATAATTGAATGCTTATCTTTGCCACTACTTTTTCTTTTCCTGCTAGTCTTTATCTTAATTTCTTCTTTTCAAAAGTTGTGGCTGTGGTTGAGTTGGTCCTGAATTTGATTACATCCTTTTTGCTATAGAATTCTTCTAATTGCTCCTTTGCCAGAGTATTGAAAGCAAACATAAGAGAAAACAAGCTTTCTATTTAGTATTTTGAGATCTGCAAAAGTTATGAGTAGTTTTATATATGCTATACAAGCACATCTAACTGAACGGATCAGTTATAACTTATGAAAACTCTACAGTGGCAGCTGTGACAAACTACTAACGGAAAGCAAAATATTATGATGGGCTGTAACTAACTAAATAACTAACTGTATAATAAAAGAAGTTATATACTCACTAACTGACTGTCCTATAAAAGGAGTTTTACACCCAGTATAATACTAGTGATAGCTGAGAAGGTTATTTAAAATGCTTGTTTTTTTTTTTTCTTTTCAAAATCTTATACATAATTAAGTTTGAGCAGGTTATTTTGTTTTTATTTTCACTTTTTAGGTTGATTGCCTTCAAGTGGATGGTGTCGTACAGAGAAGAAATCTTGTATATTGTGCTTCTACAAGGTATTCTCTCACGTAATAGCAATTGATTTAAACCTTTTATTATACTCTTGTCCTATTCATTTATTTAAAGTTAAAAGAGTTATGTAGGGTGGGATGTAAATTTGGGGGGTGAGTGGTGGTTTTAGGGCTGTCTTTTCGAACAAGGTGGGCCTTTGCATGATAGGTTTCACTTTCCCCAATTAGGTTTCATTTACAGAGACTGCTGGAGTCTCAATTTTGGTAATAAGCATTAACATATTGCTGCACGATCTTCAATTATTTTATTTTCTTTTTATTTCGTATTGATTTTGTTGTATACTGTACCTCTCATTTTGTTTTTTTAATTTTCCTTTGTTATTTTACTTTGTTGTATGTTTTTCCCTCTGTTCTTGTGCTTCCTCTCTGTCTTTTATTTGAGGAGGACATGTGTTTTTCTTATTGCCACAGTGCTGGTAAAAGTTTTGTTGCTGAGATTTTAATGTTGCGGAGGGTGATAACAACTGGAAAAATGGCGCTACTTGTTCTCCAATATGTATCAATTTGTGCAGAAAGGTTCTCTTCTGGCTTGCTAATATGTTAAAAATTTAGAAATTACATTTTCTGCTATGGTGTTTGTGGGTTTTATTTTATGGGATTCGGCCTTAAAATATTTCTAAATTTTGAGTGTTTTGGATTGTCATTTGGATTCATATAGGCAGAACACACGACGTCTCCTGAGCCATTGGTCAAACCTGTCGTAGTTTTAATGGAAACCAAGGTGGTGGAACACTTCCTAAAGATACTTCTGTAGCTGTCTGCACAATAGAGCAGGGCAACTCACAATTATAATTGTTTGGAAGAGGGTCGTCTGTCAGAATGGGAATTAATAGTGATTGAATGAACTTCACATGGTAATCATCATTATTACTCTTTAGTTATTTCTCATGAGCTGCTTTCACATGTATTTTTCTACTGGACTATCATGAAAGCTAAACAGAAAATGGTATACCTGGATGGTTCTCATGGTTTATTATTGTCTTCATCTGTTAAACAGGTTGGTGACCCAGAAAGGTATCTTCTAGAACTTATGTTGACAAAGCTTCGTTATGCAGCAGGGGAAGGTATTCCAAAGTCAAGTGATGGAGAAAGTTCAGGTGGAAGCAGTGACAAAGCTGATCCTGCACAGGGTCTGCAAATTGTGGGAATGAGTGCAACAATGCCAAATGTTGCAGCAGTTGCTGACTGGCTTCAAGTAAGCATAATTACAAGCATCCTCTCTTATGTACGCAGCTGTTATTGGGCATCCTCTTTCTCTTGCCCAACTGTCCTGTTTTGTTGTCATTTTTGGTGGTATAATTACTGAAATCAGTTGAAACTTGATCAGTATAACTTTAATAAATTGGTATTTATCCCCTGAAAACCAAATTTGACTTAATTTTGTTGTATGTTTAGTACTCTGAACTTCATCTGTTTGAAAGAAAGAAAAACTTCAAATAGAACACAGACTTGAAATGGAGGAAAATCACATTTTGCAAATATAATTGAATAATCCATATGTAATATTTGGTAAAAAACCAGTTGTTTTTGGTCTAGCTCCCTAGGGGGGCAATTTTGTTTGAGTTGGGAACACCCTCAGAGGCTAGCATGCTCTTCTGTATTTTGTCATATACACCATACTTGAGCATGAGACCTTATTTGAGAGAAATGAAGCATGTAGCTTCTAAATCAACCACCCACTGGTTAGTCGAACTGGGAAACACTATAGTGGGATGACTTTAGACATTTATTTAGGATTATAGATTATAGATAAAATTTAAGAAGATTTAGAAATTGATAAACTCTAAGTCCCATACTGATCAATCCTGGCAGTAGTCCGGTCTGGTAACACTAGTTGGATAGCAAATAGCTGGATGACCATTCTTTCGAATATTATTATAAAGGTTAAATATCTTTTTAGTCCCTAAACTTGGATGTGAAATTATAATTTGTCCTTGTTTCAAACTTTGATATATTTTGGTTCCCAAACTCAAACTTTAAAAACTGAAGAAGATAGTTCTTTTAATCCAATTGCATTAAACTTTTTTTACGTGTTAACACGTTTCAGGTTGGTGTTTGAGTTGTTTAAACGTTTGACACTGTCTTAGGTAAATGGCTTAGTTTGGAATGGCCCTTACTAATCCCAAAAATTAATGTCATTGGATTAAAATGACTATATTCATTCATTTTTTAAGTTTAAGGACCAAAATGTATCAAAGTTTTGAACATGGACGAATTCCAATTTTACATCTAAGTTTAGGGACTAAGAACATATTTAACCCTTATTATGATATAAAGTAAATGAATAATAAAAAATACAAACTAAAGTGGCCAAAACTAAAGAAATCATAATAAATAAGTCATACCCTACAACAATTACCATCAATCTAGGAGAAATAAGATTACGGTAATGAAGTCTAAATGATAGATAAGGGTCAAATTCATAGAAAGAAAAGGAAAACTGCAAATAAAAATTAGGAATATGTGACTGAATCATGGATGGAAGAGAAACAGATATGTGATAAGTGAAGGATGAAGAAAGAACAGAACACAAAAACAAGAGAGAATAGATGTGTAAAGTGTGAAGGAAGTGAAAAGAACAGAAAACACATGCACAAAAGACAGTTGTAGAGACTGAGCTCTGATGAGTAAAAAGAGACCTAAGGAAGAATGGAGACCTATTAGCAGCGAGTCAGGGACTGAATCATTAGGGTTGGCTGGAAATAGATGCTGGCTAGCAGACAGTTGGTCATTAGGTCAGACAACATATCCAAACAAGTGTAGTTTTTTTTTGAGCGAATGACTTAAGAAAGAAGGGTTTCAATTTCAAACCCGACAATACTTTTGAAGCTAAAAGTGTAACATCCCAATTTAGTAATATAAAACTACTAAAATGAACATTACATAGATAATGATATAACAAGAACTACAGTTTTACGAAGAATAAAATTCTTCACCTGAAGAACAAAAGTACCACCTACACTGCAAGCTTCACTCCCAACCTCCCGCTGAGACAACTGAAAGATTATATCACTAAGCTCACACCATTAAGGTGATCATAGCAAAAGAGAAACAACAAACAAACACAGAACACAAAAATGCAAGGGTAAGCTAGTTTAAATAAAAGAAAACTATTATATTTATCAACTATATTTTATACAAATCCTACACAGTTATTTCACACATAAAATACTTGATGCATGACACTATACTAAATTTGACCGTCCGGACTTAGAATGATTGCCGAGCTATGGTGGGTCGTGCACTCGTGGTGGCCTCTACTGCTTTGCAAAGCCATTGTCAATGGGTTTCACCCTACCACACTCACGAGGTTAGTCCGTTATCGCTCACCTTGGATCATACTGGAAGCACCCAAGACTAGGACCTCCTGTTACTCTTCACGACATGGATCAATCTTCTCTACGTGAGAGTGAAAGACCATTTGGAGTTTCAGGATAACCCCCGAGACTGAGCTTCCTGTAATCATTCTAAACTTACACAAGGTACCACCATGTAACCTCTCCGTGAGGATCATGGAATTACGTCCATCAACCATACTTTCACTTTAAAACTTAACTCAAGACTTGAACATCCAATTACTATAATACATGATCATACATACTTCATACTTAGGCTAGAACTTCATTTAAATCAAATTAAAGCAAGGATGAAAAGAGTGAACTAAACTTTGACCATTCGTTCAGCGCACACTCTCGCATAGCGAATCCAGAGACTGCTCGCACAATGACCCATCTCGTTGTGCGAATAAACTTCCAGTGATACCAAACTTCACCCACTCGCATAGCGCCTTCAACTCGCTATGCGAAAGTCTAGATAGTGGTCCATACCTCTCAAACACTTGCTGAGCACACCCCTTCGCTATTAAAATAAAAATGGCAGTAGTCCCAGACCCCAACCAGTCGCATAGTGCCTCGATTCGCCATGCAGATCATCAGACAGAGAGCAAATCTCTCAAACCATTCGCACAGCGCACCAGTTTGCTGTGCGAATGCCCTGGCAGAGAGCATCTTGCCAGGGGCGACTCGCTGTGCGAATCTATTCGCTCAGCGAGTCTGCGTAATCTGTCGAACGAAAATCTGCAAAATTATGCATCTCAGACTCCAATTACCAATTCTATCTATTTTTCCCAACTTCTAACACTCCTAGATTGTGTTATATACCTAATTAGACTTGACTAAGTAATTCTAAACCTTCCTAACATCAATCTAAAGTGTTTATGGATCAATTCCTACTGTAGAACATCAAATTTATCAACTTAGTTACCCAAATCACAATCTACCACTTTGAACCTGTTTTTGACCATTTTGATGACTCAAACAAGTCACATTTGATTTACCCAAACTGTCCCAACAGACCAATTGAGTATCTAACCTCTAATTCTTATTTTCACTACCCCATTTCCTCACCAATGACCTACAACAATTATAGATCACTTCAATTTCAACTAAACACCTTCCTAATAGATTTTAAACCTTTCATACCCCGACTTACAGATCATACAACATCCAAACATGCTTAATTACATAGATCATAATTTTGCACATTATCACATTAAAGTTGCACTTCACATATATTTTAAAATCAATTTCAGTTCAACCAACTCAATATTCACAAATTCATCATGCATATACTATCAATTTCTAATTTAAAACAAGTCTAGCTTCCCTTACCTTAGAGATATATAACCCAGCTCTAGAAAACTCCAATCGATGCTTGCACCGCAAGGTAACTCTAGGAAACCCTACAAATCACCAATTGGTGATAGAAAATCCATCTTAGTACCTAATTGAGCTAGAAATTGAAGAGGAGAATAACCAAATACATGCAACATAAATCGTTGCATGATCACAGTCCAAGAACGTACGGAGGAAAAAGGGGAAACAACTTACTGGATCAAAACAAGAAATTGATCGGTAGAGATTGTTGCCCTTGACGCAAGGATCATCTAGGCACTTCCTGATCGTCGAACAGATGATCCAAGAGTGAGAAAGGTTAGAGAGATGGTAGAGAACTCCAGAAAAGTAGTTTCTAGAGAGATGGTACGTTTTAAAATAATGAAACTCGTTTATAACAAAATTATTTATAATAAAACCGTTTAATATTAAAATAATCGAGTCTCACTATTTTTAGACTACTACCACTTCTAAAATACCATTTTCTGGGGTTTCACAAAAAGTGCATTATAAATTGTGAGACTATCCCTTTACAATTTAAATCAGAAACTCAAAAGTTGAGGGAAAAAGTTACTGTTGTTTGAAGTGCAAGGGTTATGACTCATAGGTGATGTGACTTAGACAGAAAAACTCAACCTATTAGAAACAATGTCTCACAAAACTAGTTTGTTGAGTCTCACAAAACTAGAATTCTTGGAGGAACTGCTTTACTCATATAAGCTCACAAGCGAGAGATACTATTATCCTATACTCAGTTTCAGTTGTTGATCGAACAATTACATTTTGTTTCTTGCTTTTCCATGAGATAATATTTCCTCTAATGAAAATACAATATCTTTTAGTAGAGCATTTGTTCATAGGAGAACCTACCCAATCAACTTCACAACATCTAGAGATTTGGGTGTTCCCTTTTTCTTCGTGAAGTATACGTTGTCTTGGAGCCTTTTAAAGACACCTTAGATCTGAATGACAACATTCAATGATCAATATGAGGATTTTCCATAAAATGATTCACAACACAAACTGCAAAAGACAAACCTACTCTAGTAAAGTTCAACCGTTGAACTTGTTTTGGTGGTATTGGCCACGGAACCAAAGTTCACCCGAAGCAGGCAATATCTTTATTTAATTCCTCATAAGATATAGAGGCTAAAATTCAAAGGAATTACTGTTAACACTCCCAAAATGCACCAAGAGAGATAAAGTGACATCAAGCTAGTCAAATCACGTCTTAAACCATGTCATTACTAAGGCCTGAGAGCATGCCTGGTTTCCCTTCTCTTATTGGTGGTGATATCTTTGATTTCCTGAAACCACCAATGGCATTCTAAAATTTGGTCCAATTCATCTCTCATGAAATCGGGTACAAGATCACACCCTAAAACAGGAAATGCAAAGTTCATCAGAGATAAACAAAATATTGGACGCTTGGGAATGGAAGATCGGTTAATTTTATTTTTATTAACTTAGACTTTTATATTCAAATTGATGACTATTGATTGCTGCATATTTGATCATGTTATTTGTATAAATCCTAGTTTTTCTGATGTTATCTTATACATTTGTCTCAAATTTTCATCAAGGCAGCACTATACCAGACAGAGTTCCGGCCAGTTCCACTGGAAGAATATGTAAAAGTTGGTAACTCCATTTACAGCAAAAATATGGAACTTTCTAGAACAATCTCAAAAGTTGCTGACCTTGGAGGTAAAGATCCAGATCATGTTGTTGAACTATGTAATGAGGTAGGTGGTCGAGAGTCTTAGCTGCAATGTCTATACCTTGTAATACTGAAAACTGTATAGTTATGAACAATTAAATATTCTTTTCAGGTTGTTCAAGAGGGACAATCAGTGTTAATATTTTGCTCTAGCCGGAAGGGTTGTGAATCAACTGCAAGGCACATTGCAAAGTTCCTTAAAAGATTTACTGGTGATGTTAATGGTTGTGAGTTTGCTGATATTGGTTCTGCTATTAATGCCTTGAGAAAGTGTCCAGGTGGGTTGGACCCCATATTGGAGGAAACTCTTCATTCTGGTGTTGCATTTCATCATGCTGGCCTTACGGTAACCTTCCATTCTTATTTTTGTCTTCATGGCTTCCACTGTCACTTTATTATTGTTTGAAATTTTCACGTTGACTAGAAATAGGGTCAAATTATAATATAGAAGTGAGTGCAAACCTTATATTATGAGTTATTTATGTGAGATTGAGTTAAACTTAAATTCGACTACTTTTATAATTGCATACCTTCATTTTGATTCTAGTTTATATAGATGATGAAAATGTTATGTTTATATAATCTGTTATTTTTTGCTATTTCATAGGTTGAAGAGAGAGAGATTGTTGAAACCTGTTATCGGAAGGGTCTTATACGTGTTTTAACTGCCACATCAACCTTAGCAGCTGGGGTAAATCTGCCAGCTAGGAGAGTGATTTTCCGCCAACCTAGAATTGGTTGTGATTTTCTAGATGGGACGAGGTACAAACAGATGGCTGGTCGTGCTGGTCGAACTGGAATTGATACAAAAGGAGAAAGTGTATGGCTTTTTTTTTATTATGCTTTCAACTATTACATAGTAATGTCAATGTGGTATTTTCAGGATGTTAAGCTGATGCCAATGCTACACTTTCTTTTTGTCATTTTTTGTTTTGAATTTTCTCTTTGTTGTACTCAACATATGTTTCTTTTTTCTCTTTACCTAACTTTCCTTTTTATTTGATGTCATACTTTATTTGGGTGTGTTCTAATTAATTAGTTCTGAGTTGATTCAGTTTGTTACTTGTACAGATACTTATCTGTAAACCAGACGAAGTGAAAAAAGTTACAACACTTCTTAATGAAAGCTGTCCCCCTTTACATTCTTGTTTGTCAGAAGACATGAATGGAATGACACATGCAATCTTAGAAGTAGTGGCTGGAGGAATTGTTCAAACTGCTAGCGATATTAACCGTTATGTTAGATGTACTCTTTTGAATTCTACAAAATCATTTCAAGATGTAGTAAAATCTGCACAAGAATCCCTTAGATGGTTGTGCCAAAGAAAATTTCTTGAATGGAATGAAGATACTAAACTGTATAATACCACACCTCTTGGACGAGCATCTTTCGGAAGTTCTCTTTGTCCAGAAGAATCACTTGTAAGTGTTCCTATAATTTTATTTAGTGCCATTGCTCTTTTTCCCATTGATCCATTTTGGGTTTATTATTGTGAAGCTTTTCTTTTTTGTTTTGTTAGAATATATTAGACATGTGAGTGTGATGATTGGATACATGACAATATTAATTGCTTGTACATGATGTGTTAGAGACCCAAATTGTAGAAGACGAATAAATAGGGAAAATGAGATAATATATGTATTATTTCCAAAATAAATAAAAAAATATTGAAGGTGATGATTCTTACTACTGTACATCAAGCACTTCTAGAGAGGTTATCACCTCCTGGCCATAATAGAATTCCACTGTATCTTTCTTGTAATCTTGCTCCTCACTCTCCCCTCACATTTTCCCGCTACATCACTCATTAACTGATTCTGTAACACCCTTTGCTACCTCACCATGTCTTTTCACATTCTTTTTTCTCCTCTCATACACTCCAAAACTTGGGCCTACTTTCAAAGTCTAAGCCCACTTTCCCAGTCCTAACAGTGTATGTTTCTTCAATAGGAGCCTTGTCCTTAAGGCTCCAGTGAGGAGATTGACTTCTAAGGTTAAATTCCTCTTTCCACGTGACATCTTCCAATCCTTTGACCTTCTATTGGATAAGCACTTGACTCACAAAATCTTCTCTGTTAGAGATCCCATGTTGACTAGAGATATGACCAAATTATAGAATATGAGTGGGTGGAAAGTTCATTTTGGGAGCAGGTTTTTCAGGGTTGAATTAGACTTAAATCAATTGTCTAACACTCTCAGGTTCCAAACTTATTTCATCATCTCCAACCAAATCTGGAGAAAGTTCATCCTGCACGTTATAATTGTCCACATCTTTCTTAAGTGAAGATACATGAAAAACAAGATGTATCTTGGTTGCTTTAGACAATTGCAGCCTGTATACTACTGGTCCCACATGTAGCCAACAGAGGATTAGTACGTGACCCCACAGTTAGCTGTTCATTGGGTTGAAAAATACAAAATCTCCTACTGCAAACTCACAATCTGTCCTTTTCTTATTTATCTAATCCTTCATTCTATTCTTGACTTGCCCACTGCATTTGCCACTTCAATTGTTTGAGAGCTTTATTTCTGTCCATCAACTCCCTTTTTACTGNTCTTTTTCTTCGTGAAGTATACGTTGTCTTGGAGCCTTTTAAAGACACCTTAGATCTGAATGACAACATTCAATGATCAATATGAGGATTTTCCATAAAATGATTCACAACACAAACTGCAAAAGACAAACCTACTCTAGTAAAGTTCAACCGTTGAACTTGTTTTGGTGGTATTGGCCACGAAACCAAAGTTCACCCGAAGCAGGCAATATCTTTATTTAATTCCTCATAAGATATAGAGGCTAAAATTCAAAGGAAATACTGTTAACACTCCCAAAATGCACCAAGAGAGATAAAGTGACATCAAGCTAGTCAAATCACGTCTAAAACCATGTCATTACTAAGGCCTGAGAGCATGCCTGGTTTCCCTTCTCTTATTGGTGGTGATATCTTTGATTTCCTGAAACCACCAATGGCATTCTAAAATTTGGTCCAATTCATCTCTCATGAAATCGGGTACAAGATCACACCCTAAAACAGGAAATGCAAAGTTCATCAGAGATAAACAAAATATTGGACGCTTGGGAATGGAAGATCGGTTAATTTTATTTTTATTAACTTAGACTTTTATATTCAAATTGATGACTATTGATTGCTGCATATTTGATCATGTTATTTGTATAAATCCTAGTTTTTCTGATGTTATCTTATACATTTGTCTCAAATTTTCATCAAGGCAGCACTATACCAGACAGAGTTCCGGCCAGTTCCACTGGAAGAATATGTAAAAGTTGGTAACTCCATTTACAGCAAAAATATGGAACTTTCTAGAACAATCTCAAAAGTTGCTGACCTTGGAGGTAAAGATCCAGATCATGTTGTTGAACTATGTAATGAGGTAGGTGGTCGAGAGTCTTAGCTGCAATGTCTATACCTTGTAATACTGAAAACTGTATAGTTATGAACAATTAAATATTCTTTTCAGGTTGTTCAAGAGGGACAATCAGTGTTAATATTTTGCTCTAGCCGGAAGGGTTGTGAATCAACTGCAAGGCACATTGCAAAGTTCCTTAAAAGATTTACTGGTGATGTTAATGGTTGTGAGTTTGCTGATATTGGTTCTGCTATTAATGCCTTGAGAAAGTGTCCAGGTGGGTTGGACCCCATATTGGAGGAAACTCTTCATTCTGGTGTTGCATTTCATCATGCTGGCCTTACGGTAACCTTCCATTCTTATTTTTGTCTTCATGGCTTCCACTGTCACTTTATTATTGTTTGAAATTTTCACGTTGACTAGAAATAGGGTCAAATTATAATATAGAAGTGAGTGCAAACCTTATATTATGAGTAATTTATGTGAGATTGAGTTAAACTTAAATTCGACTACTTTTATAATTGCATACCTTCATTTTGATTCTAGTTTATATAGATGATGAAAATGTTATGTTTATATAATCTGTTATTTTTTGCTATTTCATAGGTTGAAGAAAGAGAGATTGTTGAAACCTGTTATCGGAAGGGTCTTATACGTGTTTTAACTGCCACATCAACCTTAGCAGCTGGGGTAAATCTGCCAGCTAGGAGAGTGATTTTCCGCCAACCTAGAATTGGTTGTGATTTTCTAGATGGGACGAGGTACAAACAGATGGCTGGTCGTGCTGGTCGAACTGGAATTGATACAAAAGGAGAAAGTGTATGGCTTTTTTTTATTATGCTTTCAACTATTACATAGTAATGTCAATGTGGTATTTTCAGGATGTTAAGCTGATGCCAATGCTACACTTTCTTTTTGTCATTTTTTGTTTTGAATTTTCTCTTTGTTGTACTCAACATATGTTTCTTTTTTCTCTTTACCTAACTTTCCTTTTTATTTGATGTCATACTTTATTTGGGTGTGTTCTAATTAATTAGTTCTGAGTTGATTCAGTATGTTACTTGTACAGATACTTATCTGTAAACCAGACGAAGTGAAAAAAGTTACAACACTTCTTAATGAAAGCTGTCCCCCTTTACATTCTTGTTTGTCAGAAGACATGAATGGAATGACACATGCAATCTTAGAAGTAGTAGCTGGAGGAATTGTTCAAACTGCTAGCGATATTAACCGTTATGTTAGATGTACTCTTTTGAATTCTACAAAATCATTTCAAGATGTAGTAAAATCTGCACAAGAATCCCTTAGATGGTTGTGCCAAAGAAAATTTCTTGAATGGAATGAAGATACTAAACTGTATAATACCACACCTCTTGGACGAGCATCTTTCGGAAGTTCTCTTTGTCCAGAAGAATCACTTGTAAGTGTTCCTATAATTTTATTTAGTGCCATTGCTCTTTTTCCCATTGATCCATTTTGGGTTTATTATTGTGAAGCTTTTCTTTTTTGTTTTGTTAGAATATATTAGACATGTGAGTGTGATGATTGGATACATGACAATATTAATTGCTTGTACATGATGTGTTAGAGACCCAAATTGTAGAAGACGAATAAATAGGGAAAATGAGATAATATATGTATTATTTCCAAAATAAATAAAAAAATATAGAAGGTGATGATTCTTACTACTGTACATCAAGCACTTCTAGAGAGGTTATCACCTCCTGGCCATAATAGAATTCCACTGTATCTTTCTTGTAATCTTGCTCCTCACTCTCCCCTCACATTTTCCCGCTACATCACTCATTAACTGATTCTGTAACACCCTTTGCTACCTCACCATGTCTTTTCACATTCTTTTTTCTCCTCTCATACACTCCAAAACTTGGGCCTACTTTCAAAGTCTAAGCCCACTTTCCCAGTCCTAACAGTGTATGTTTCTTCAATAGGAGCCTTGTCCTTAAGGCTCCAGTGAGGAGATTGACTTCTAAGGTTAAATTCCTCTTTCCACGTGACATCTTCCAATCCTTTGACCTTCTATTGGATAAGCACTTGACTCAAAATCTTCTCTGTTAGAGATCCCATGTTGACTAGAGATATGACCAAATTATAGAATATGAGTGGGTGGAAAGTTCATTTTGGGAGCAGGTTTTTCAGGGTTGAATTAGACTTAAATCAATTGTCTAACACTCTCAGGTTCCAAACTTATTTCATCATCTCCAACCAAATCTGGAGAAAGTTCATCCTGCACGTTATAATTGTCCACATCTTTCTTAAGTGAAGATACATGAAAAACAAGATGTATCTTGGTTGCTTTAGACAATTGCAGCCTGTATACTACTGGTCCCACATGTAGCCAACAGAGGATTAGTACGTGACCCCACAGTTAGCTGTTCATTGGGTTGAAAAATACAAAATCTCCTACTGCAAACTCACAATCTGTCCTTTTCTTATTTATCTAATCCTTCATTCTATTCTTGACTTGCCCACTGCATTTGCCACTTCAATTGTTTGAGAGCTTTATTTCTGTCCATCAACTCCCTTTTTACTGCTTTAACTCTCACTTCTCCAGGAAAAAAATAAATTACTGTAGGAGGTTTTCACATCAATATCTCTAATACCCCCCTCAAACTCTAAGGTGAGAGATTTTTACAAACAAAATCCTTTACATTGAGTTTGTGTCCAAGAAGTTTTTTGGCTTGTTTAGAACATCAGCCCTCACTAATCTAAGCTAGGAATATGATAAACTTAAGTTGTTTTGATAACACTTGATCACGAACACAAAAGACATCAATCTCCATATGTTTCATTGTAGCTTGAAAAACTGGATTTTGTGCTATGGCAACAATGCTTTGATTGTCATAGGAGTAGTGGAAGAAATAGAAAGTTTTTTAGAAAAACATGAATCCATAGAATTTCTGCTAAAGATTTTTTATTCATTTTTTATTATGTAATCATTTCCTTATAAATACCAGGTTAAAACTTAAAACTTATAGACACATGTGTTCCTGTGCAATTATCATCGATTCATTTTTCTCATTTTTAGGATGATATTTGCATTCTCGTTTATTTTTGTGTCTGATTTTAGTTTTTGTGAAGATGATGGTAGGCTTGTGAAACTAGGTTAGAACCAATATATACCTATGTGTAATTCCTTTTGTACAATTATCCTAAAAGGATGGTGTTTAGTTTTTCTCTATAATTGTCCATTGGTAACTTTAAAATATGGGTAGGTAATTTGAGGTAGTATAGTCGTGCTGTTATTGGCATTAACCTATGCTTTCTTGATTTCTCAGATTGTGTTAGCTGATCTCTCAAGGGCAAGGGAAGGATTTGTCCTTGCATCTGACTTGCATTTAGTTTACTTAGTGACACCAATCAATGTTGATGTGGAGCCAAATTGGGAATTGTTCTATGAGCATTTTGTGAGATTGTCTCCTCTTGACCAGGTTGGTTTTCATTAAGAAGTCCCTTTCTCTTTTTTATTGGCAATAAATGTTATTAGACTTGCTTGGAGTTCATAAAATGTTTACCATCACCTATCTCAGGCTGTGTACGTAAGTCTTACTAATATTTATATGCTTGCAGTCAGTTGGCAATCGAGTAGGTGTGACGGAACCATTCTTGATGCATATGGCGCATGGTGCACCACTACGCGCTTCTAACAAGTCAAAACATAATACAAGATCATTGCACTGTCAACAAAGAAACCGACCTGGGATTTCCAATTCAACAACCAACTATGATGATCAAACACTTCGTATTTGTAGAAGATTCTATGTTGCACTCATTTTGTCACTTCTAGTTCAGGTGCTTTTCTCAGTTTTGTGGACTCAAATATTTCTATCCTTAACTATTTTCCAAAAAAAATATTACTAGTGAATAAAGAAGATAAATGAAAGGAGGATGCATATCTTATGATGAGAGGATTGTGTTAGATATATTATATCTTTTATCTTTTAGTTAATTTGTTATTATTTCTCATTTGTATTTTGGGCTTAGCCCATATTTCTTCTATTATAAATAGAGAACCCTATGTGTGTATTTTACACAAGGGAGATTAATCCAAATATAGTGAATAAAGAAGATAAATGAAAGGAGGATGCATATCTTATGATGAGAGGATTGCTACCAAACACAACTTAATGAAAAAAGTGGAAGCTCAAAGAGCTTTCTAATCCCTTTGCATGTTTAACTATTTTATGGCAGAGGAAATTCTAGCATGGTTTTCCTTTGAATATCTTAACATTCCGCTCCAAATACAATCTCCAATCACAATAATGACTAGAGCTGTCAAAATTTGCTTGATTCAATGTTCTTGGCAGGTGTGGCATTAAAAAATGAGGCTTGGAAAAAATTGGGCTAAATTGACTAGTCCTAATGGGTCTGCCTACACCATTGCAACATTGGTCAAATATTATTATTTTTCTTTTGAATTTGATCTATATTTAGATCAATGTCATCAACATTAGATAATGGAAAGTATTTGAGTCTGTAAAGATCCTTTATGAAGATAAATTGATAATGGGTTATGGCAGAAGTATCATTGACAAAAAAAATACATATGTACATATAGATAATTCAAAAGAATGCAAAAAATATAATGGTAATGAAAAAATTAATGAAAGACATTTTACGTCTGCAAATTTAAATACATTAAAATAAATCAAAACACCACAAATTTCAAGTTCAAGACTTAAAAATAATAACACAACATAATATAAATGTACCAAGTTTCTAATTATCCGTCTCTTCAATCCCAACATATTTTCTTCAATGGCCATGAAATCTGCCATGGCTGCTTTTCAATTTGCATATAAAGTGGGATAGGCTGTGATGCGCCAACAAATGTGTAGCCCACAAGGAATTTGGGTTGGCCACCCTAACCCACTTTTCACACATTGGCTTGTGGCATTGGGTTGAACGACCCACTTTTGCACATTTAACAGAACATGTAAATTGCACTACCAGAACTTGTCTCATATACTACTACATTTGCTAAGACCCTCTAATCTATCAACAATGAAGGGAACTTGTTTAATTTAGTAATTTAGTAATTCAAAACTAGATTGCAAGGTGAGGTTTTGTTAGGATATATAGAGATGGGAAGTTTATTAAGGTATTTAAAATATAAATTGTTAAGTTAGTTGTAAGGAGTGGACATGGACAGTCTACTATTGAAAGAAATGTACAAATTATGTTAGTTGTTGGCTAGTTGTTTGCTATTTGGACTGTTGTTGGGGTAGTGGGCTAAGGCTTTCTAGAAAGCCTTTTTATTCTGTTGTGGAGAGAGGGTTTAGAAGTTGGGAAAAGAGATAGTTTGAACAAGGTAAGCCTTGTGGAAGAGGAGGTATTCTCTACTTTGTATGTGGGTGTTTGAGAGTTTTGTAAGAAATAATACATTAGTGGGAAACGGCATGTCCAATTTCTCTTGTGTTTTGCTTATTCTTGTGATGGGTCCTAACTTTTTTGGTCCAACCTGCCGAATCCGGAGAAGGAAGAATCTTGGAAAACAGATTTAGTGCTTTGGAAAGACGGGCCAGTGAGCAAGGAAAAGTGAAATGAGGATGAATTTGAATATTGTAAATGACAGTTTGCCTGACGTGAAGCAGGTTAAAAAATTTCCTTGAGGATAAGGTTGTTGCAGCTGGGGGACATAATGATTGGAAGGAGAATAAGGAGAGGACATGAAAAGTCACTATAGAAAGAAATGTAAAAATTTAGTTGTTGGTTAATTGTTTGCCATTTTGACAGCTGTTGGGGTAGTGGGCTAAGGCTTTCTAGGAAAGCCTGTTTATTCTGTTGTGGAGAAGGTTTGGTGGTTAGGAAAAAAGGTAGTTTGAATAAGGTAAGCCTTGTGGAACATGAGTTATTCTCTCCTTTGTATGTGGGTGTTTGCAAGTTTTGTAAGAAATAGTACAGTAGTTGGAAACTGCATTTCCAATTTTTCTCGTGTTTTGCTTATTCTTGTGAGGGGATCTAATAGATTCAAATTTGTCATTGTAAATTGAGGAATGGCCCTTTGAGAAAGGAGAAATCCTTTGGGAAGGGGAAACCTTTAGAGGAGAGGTTTCTTTGCCATTCATTGCTGTTTTCGTCCTATTCATTAAAAATCATTCTTTTTCTTTTCAATTCTTTGTCCCTATTAAGTACGCACCCTGTCTTTTTAAGTCATATCACTAGTCAATGTGAATCTTAACCACCACCCATGATATTGTAATTACCTCCAAGGGTGATTGCACGTAAGATGACCCTTCCAACACTCTCCCTAATACCCATTACTTCTAAGTTGGACCATGACATATGTAGGTGACCCAACAAGAGATCTAGGATATACTTTGATACCATATGAGTAGTTGGTTTGAACTTAACTTAAATAATTAGTTTGTAAGATAAGGTTTGCACCCTACTTACATATATTCTATTGTAGTCATATTACTAGTTTATGTGTACCTAAATTGCTACTTGTTGTAAATAGTAGATTATTAGGAGAAAAATATTCTCAATATCTCCATAGTAATTATGAAAAAATGTCTTCAAAATCTTCCCATTTATTTCAAAATATTTATATTAACGTTTTTTATTGGTTTTGGTTATTACAAATATAGATGATGAGAATGTAATTGGTGTGATTGATATCAATAAAATAATTCTATATTTTTGAAGTGTACTCTTGATTTTGTAATAGAGTGCTGAACAAATTTAAGGCAACTCTTCAACAATAGTTTTCATCTTTGACGTGTTAAAAGTCTTGAAAAAGCTCACATCCATTGGAAAAATGGATAAAATATTTATTCTCGTATGGTTATATTTGTTAAAAGTGATATATTTTCGTAACATTTGTGAAAAGGTAAAATCATATGAAACATAGGTGCATTCATGCATCATAATATAGCATATGTGGCCATTTAAGATTCATTTTAGATATGAATCGGTAGATATCCAAAATGTTTCAAATCTTAAGGTTTGAATCAGAAGATTTTGATAACCATGTCTGATAGGAAGTAAAGAAAGTGAAATTAGTTAAGATAGAATACTACTGAGTTAGTTACTTGAGGTGTTCGTTAGATAAAAATTGAGGAAGGCAAAGAGAATATTGATTATCCCTGCAATTTCACTAGAACTTAATTTATTTCTTGTGTAAATGTGATTTTATGAAGGAAACTCCTGTGGGTGAAGTTTGTGAAGCGTTCAAAGTTGCCAGGGGAATGGTCCAATCCTTGCAAGATAATGCGGGTAGGTTTGCATCTATGGTTGCTGTGTTTTGTGAGAGACTTGGTTGGCAAGATCTTGAAGGCTTAGTTGCTAAGTTTCAAAATCGTGTATCTTTTGGAGTTAGAGCAGAGATTGTAGAACTTACCACCATTCCCTACGTGAAAGTAAGTGCTAAGCACACTCAAGTTCTATGATTGCTTGCCATGCTCCTTGGTATATGTTCTATTGTTATTGGCTTGTACTAGTGATCTTATGTCCTGTTTCTTTCATTCAATTTGCAGGGTTCCCGAGCCAGATCACTCTATAAAGCAGGTTTACGTACACCTCTTGCAATTGCTGAAGCATCCATTCCAGAGATAGTAAAAGCACTTTTTGAAAGTTCTTCGTGGGCCACAGAAGGTGATCTATGGATTAAGTTGTCTGAATTATGTTATGTTGAGTTTAATATTTTGGTCTAGGTTGAGATAATATTGATTATTCCTAGAAACTATATATCATTAAATATAAATATGGAACTAACTAGATAAACATTTTTCATAGAGAAAAGCTCGTTACCAATGTACTGTACTTTTAAATTCATTAAATTAGCTTAATAACTCGGGATTGTGTGAGTAAGCAGCCTTATATTTTTCATGTAGTTTGAGTTGGTTTTGTTTCTTTGAAAGGTTCTGCCCAAAGGAGCTTTCAATTTGGGTTAGCAAAAAAGATAAAGAATGGTGCACGCAAGATTGTTCTTGATAAAGCTGAGGAGGCTAGTAATGCTGCTTTCTCAGCCTTTAAGTCTCTTGGGTTTAGTGTACCGCAGTTTGCTCCTCGCATGTTATCTACTGCTACTCATGATTCTATCCGCCAAGAAGCTGGAAGTACCTCCGGAAGTGACACGACTGACACTAGTCATAATTTTGTTGATGCAAATCACATGGTTAATTCTAATAAATTTACTTCAGATAAAGAAAGAGAAGAACTAATTAAATTATCTGTTAGTGGTGCTCTGGCTTCTGTGGAAGGAAAATCAAGCAACAAGATGCTATGTAGCTTGTCCACCTTTCCTGTTGCTGGACCTACAATGGATGAGCACAACGGGACTTTTGACCTTGCTAAAAATCTAGACATGTCCAACTTCTCTGCTCCATTTCTGGAACCAAAGGATAAATCTTGTGTACATGATGGCTGCCATGCTCATTGTACAGAGGAACAGCTTAAGAATGAAAATTTGGCTAGTGGTAATTCTGGTTGTTCAAGTAAGAAAGGTCCCATTAATGCAGTTAGTTGTCCAGGTGGGCTTGATTCATTTTTGGATATATGGGACACTGTGCCAGAGTTCTACTTTGATATCCATTACATCAAGCGTTTGGAATTGCACTCTGCTGTCCCCTTTGAGATATGTGGCATAGCTGTTTGTTGGGAAAACTCTCCTGTGTATTACGTTAATCTTCCAAGAGATATTCTGTTTTCTGACAAAGCAAAAGATGATTGTTTATCCATGAGTACATGCAGTGATAAACAGAAAGTTTCATCTTCTAAGTGTAACAAAGATTTAGAGATTGCTAGACACAGGTGGAGCAGAATTAGTAAAATAATAGGGAAAAGAAATGTAAGAAAGTTCACCTGGAATTCGAAGATTCAGATTCAGGTGCTGAAAAGTCCTGCATTTCCTGTTCAGAGATTCAGAGGTTTGGACATACCCGGAACAAGTGTGAACCTTGAAGTCATAGACAATTCATATGTGTTATTTCCCCCTATTCATGTTCAGGATGCAATTGATCTATGTATCGTGGCTTGGATTCTTTGGCCTGATGAAGAGAGTAGCTATACTCCAGACCTTGATAAGGTAATATAAATGCTTGTACTGCATCCATGAATATAAAGACATGTTCACTTGTTTGGAATCAATTTTTGGTGATATGACAGTATCTTACTAGAGTCAACAATTGTGGTTGATAATATAGGAGGTGAAGAAGAGGTTATCCTCTGAGGAAGCTGCAGTTGCCAATCACAGTGGTAGATGGAGGAATCAGATGAGAAGGGCTGCTCATGATGGTTGCTGTCATCGGGTTGCTCAAACACGGGCATTATGTTCTGTTCTTTGGAAATTACTTGTTTCTGAAAATCTTGCTGAAGTGCTTATAGGAATAGAAATCCCATTGGTAAGAATTTATAGGAATAGTAATTTACACCAAATTTTGTTTTAAATGCATATTTTTGTGTTATAGTATATAAGCCATATACCTATAAAAATAAAATGGTAATCTAATATTGAACAATTTCTGGATTTATGTAGAGTGCTCTCATCAATGTGATGGATACACCTTAATTAATCTTTCACTTAACACATGGTTGTTGGATTTTTGTTTTTATTGAAGATTTCACATGGACTAGAGATGTGACAAAATTATGGGGTGCAAACCTCTCTTTAAAAGTCAGTTTTATAAAATTGAGTTAGACATAAATCTCACTTTCTAAGTTGTAAATAAGAGTATGTCCTAGCATGGTTTGCAGGGCCTATCATGTCACTCATCATCAATAATTTGACCAACCACTAATATGTAGAGCCATACTTGAGATCTTCGGTCTTCAATGGGAGGGAGTGTGTTAGAGATCTCTCATAACCAAATTATAGTATAAAAGTAGAGATAAACTTCATTCTACAAACCAGTTTGTATGATTGAGTTAAGACAAAAGTTCATTTCTACGAGTTTTTATGATTTCTAACACATGAAAATTGTTTAAAAAGTTTGAAAGCTTTAGATATTGATTTGTTGATGTGTCTACACCTTGCTTGTTAAATTTTATGTGTGAGGTCCTTGATGTTTGTATTGGTCTTTATGATGAAGTGGCCTAGGGTTTGATTGATGGTACCTCGCCACCTAACAAAAGTTGGATTTCAGCTCAATAAAGCTGAGGCTTTGCATTTTCTATTATTGAATATAATAAAATTAGACATAGGATTAATCTCCCTTGTGTCTAAAACATTCTCATAATTTAGGGTAAAACATATATCTTATTATGTTGAGATTACAAATCCATATATACAATGCTAGAAAGCTATTTAAGGAAGTATAATAATAGCTCCTAAAGAAAGAATCCCTATATTTCAAGGATATCCTAATCATACCTGATAATTATAATCTCCTAAATAAGGAAGAAATATAATTAATAAAAGCAAAGACTTTAATAGAAATAATACAGATAAAAAGATTCTAACACTCTCCCTCAAGCTGGTAAATAGGTATTTTCCATTCCCAGCTTGGAAACAATACTTTTAAAGTTGTTACTGTTCAGCCCCTTTGTTAGAATATCTGCAAGGTTGTCTTGTGAAGAGACATATGGAGTACAAATTAGACCACTATCTAATTTTTCTTTGATAAAATGCCTGTCGATCTAGATATGTTTGGTTCTATCATTCTGCACTGGATTATGAGCTATGCTAATAGCAGATTTGTTATCACAATAAAGTCTCATTGATTTATCTGACTTTATTCCTAAGTCTTCCAAGATGATCTTTAACCATAGTAGTTCACATATCCCTTGTGCCATTGAACCAAATTCTGCTTCAGCAATGGATCTGCCTACCACATTTTGTTTTTTACTCTTACAAGTCACAAGATTTCCACCAATGAAAGTGCAATACCTCGTAGTTGACCTTCTATCCAAAATTGAGCCTGCATAGTCTGCAAATGTATGTGCTTCCACACTTACATTCCCATTTCGTTCAAACAAAATTCCCATACTTGGGGTTCCCTTCAAATATTGCACAATTCTTAGTGTAGCTTGTAAGTGAACTTCCTTAGGTTGGTGCATGAACTGGCTAGCAAGGCTTACAACAAATGCAACCTCTGATACATTTCCTTGTCAACTTTAGTACCTTCTTGTACATTCCCCAATTTCATGTTTGGATCAATTGGTGTACTCGCAGGCTTGCATGTTGTTTTCCCAATTTCTTTCAACAAATCTGTGAAGTATGTTTGCTGAGATATAAATATTCCCTTTTTAGAATGGGCCTAACAGATGTTGCTCCTCCTCCTCATCACCTGTTACTACAATATCATCTACATAAACCAATAGCATTGTAACTCTTCCTGATTTAGAGCGTTGAATGAACAAGGTGTGATCTCCTTGACTTTGTTTAAAGCCCAAACTTATCATAACTTTAGTAAACCTTCCAAACCACGCTCGTAGTGATTGTTTCAACCCATACAATGCCTTTTTTAGCTTGCAAATAGTGTTGGCAGCTGTTTTTCCCTCATATCCAGGGGGCAATTCCATGTAAATCTCCTCTTCAATTTCTCCATGAAGGAAGGCATTTTTAACGTCAAATTGTTGCAAGTTCCAACCATAATTAGCTACTAGAGTTAATATCACCCTAACTGTATTCATTTTTGCCAACGGAGCAAAAGTTTCCATGTAATCCACTCCATAGGTTTGAGTGAATCCCTTAGCCACAAACCTTGCTTTGTACCTCTGAATAGACCCATCAACCTTGTATTTTATAGTATATACCCACTTGCATCCTACTGGTTTTTTTGCATTTGGGAGAGCAACCAAATCCCAAATACTATTCTTTTCTAGTGCTTCCATTTCCATGTACATAGCTTGTTTCCATTTTTTATCACTCAATGCCTCAGATAAACAGGTAGGTATGGTTGTGGTGTTTAGGTTTGTAAGGAAGGCTTTATGAGTAGGTGAGAAGTTTTTAAAGGATAGGTAATTAGCTAGAGGGTACAATGGCTTGGTAGTGCATTTCCTAATCTCTTTTTTAAGGGCAATTGGAATATCTAGGTCCTCATAAAGGGATGCTGGACTGAATTCAGATTCCTGTATATTTGGAGAAACAAGGTTTGATGCATTGGAGATTAAAGGATTAGGGATAGTTACCTCATGTAATGTTGGGTTGGATGGTTGAACATGGACATACTCTGGAATGGTCTTTGTCTTCCTTGTATAAACTAGATTTTTACCAAATCTTACATCAGCCCCATCTCAAGAGCTGTTACACTTTTAGTCCCTATTTCTGGTCCTAAGCTTAAGTTAAGAAGCATAAGGATATCATCTTCATTTGGTGCAGTCTCCCCCTGAAGATGATCTTTATAGAAGTAACTTTTGTGCTAAAAAAAGGTGACATCACGAGACACAAAATTTTTTGGATGGTGGGTGATAGCATTTATATCCCTTTTGTGTGGATGAGTAACCTATGAAAATACATTTTAAGGCTCTAGGATCAAGTTTACCTCTATCACTACTGTGGACATGGACAAAAGAGACACAACCAGAGATGCGTGGAACAAGGTGGTTGACACATTAGGATAAAAGGATGACAAAACCTCCATAGGGCTTTTGGAAGCTAGAATACTAGAAGGTAGTCTATTAATTAGATAACAGGCAGTGAGAACAACCTCTCCCCAAAAACTTTTAGGAACCTTATGTTGAAAAAAGAGAACTCTAGTTTGGTCAAGAAGGTGTCCATTTCTCCTCTCTGCAATCCCATTTTGTTGAGGAGTTTTGACACAAGAGGACTCATGAATGATACCTTCCTTTTGACAAAAAGAAATGAGCCCATGATTGAAGTAATCTTTGGCATTATTAGATCTAATCCTCTTAATGCTAACACCAAATTGATTTTTTACCATTGAGAAAAAACTTTGAACCATAGAGCTTACTTCAGATTTTTGTTTTAGTAAGAAAAACCACGTGACACGAGTGCAATCATCTATAAAGGTAATAAACCAACGAGCACCAGAAACATTGGTGACATTTGAGGGACCCCATACATCAGTATGAATTAAATAGAAGGGAAAAGTGCTCGTATTTTTACTAACAGGGAAAGAAACAAGTTTGTGTTTAGCAAGTTCACACACTTCACAATTGAGACTTGCCACATCCAATTTGCTGAAAAGGGAAGGGAATAATAATTTTATGACCCTAAAGGAAGGATGTCCAAGACGACAATGATGGAGGAAGAACTTATCAAAGCTGGTCTTTATTGAATAAGAGAAAAAAGAGTTGATATATCCCAGGGCTGATGGCAGATTTGGATTGTCCAAGTAATACAAGCCATTCCAGTCTCTAACATGTCCAATCGTCCTCCTCGATTGTTGGTTGTGTATGTTACAGTCATTGTTGGAAAAGTAACACTGCATGAGAGATCATGTATGAGTTTTTTAATGGAGACTAAACTAACAGATAAGTTAGGAATATAAAGGACATTTGTAAGGGTGATAGATGGGCTTATTTGAACATCTCCTTGACCTGCTGCAGTCATCAGAGAGCCATCAACTATGTATATTTTCTTGTTGCTAGGGCAAGGGGTGTAAAAGGAGAAAATGTTAGATAAGGGTGTCATATGGTCGGTAGCCCCAGAATCTAGTATCCAATATGGGTTAGGTTGTTTATCTGAGGAATTAAGTCCAAAAGAAGGAAACTCGCCAAATGTACCTGAATGTGCTAGAGAACAACTACCTGGTGATTTATCCAACTTGTTAAGGACATTTGTTGAACCTCATCTTGGTTAAGTGGAATTGGTTCGCTGTTGTTTTCTTCATGTTTTGCAGCACCTAGGTGTGCTTGTTCGCCCTTTCTACTATTGCCGCCTCTTTTTCCCCACTCCTTTTCACGATTTTGGGATCCCCAATCTCGACTAGGAGGTTTGTTACAGAAGGTACACCACACTCCTTCATTTTTCTTTTCCATATTTGTGAGTCCCCCCTTTTGGGGATCAACCATCTTGGCCGATCTGGTTGCTACCATGGCTGAGTTTTGCATGGTTGGGGGTTCTAGCATTATTCCCCTTCTGCTTTCTTCACTTCTTACCATAGCTACCACTTCCAAGAATCTGGACTCTCACTTGATCAAAATAAGAGTTAAGCCCTACCAAAAAATCATAGACTCTATCTTGCTCAATATACTCTTTGAGCATGGGAGAATCATCTGAGCACTTGGCTTTGATGACCCTGTAATGGTCTAATTCCATCCAAAGTGATTTGAGTTGGTTGGCATACTCTGTAAAAGTATTGATTCCTTGTTTGGCAGTGATAGTCTTCACGTTCACATCAAATATTTGGGCAACATCTTTAGCTTTTGAGTATGTCTGCTCCACTGCATTCCAAATCTTTGCAAAATTAAGAAACATGCAAGTATCAGTAATTTCTGGGATCATGGAGTTCCATAGCCATGCCATGATCATAGAGTCTTCTTCATCCCATTTTGTAAATATGGGATCGTTTTCTGGAGGAGCATG